ATATCAATATCTTTTTTTAATATATTAAGTTGAAACAAAAGTTCATAGCGCTATAAAGGTTAAAATTCAAGAAACTGTAACTTTGTTAAAAAAAAAACAAAATTTAAAAGCTCTCGCACCAATCTTACGTAAATTGGTTTTCTGGTCGAATTAACTAAATTTTATGTTATAATTCTCTCGTCTTTCTGAATAAATATCTCCATGGGACCAATCTTCTCTTATGACTAGTTTTTACGCTACACGTTCTGAAAGGTTTGTTCTTAAAGAAAATTGATTTTTCCTTATTAATGATATTATATATCATTAATATTTTTGAGGCTTCCACGGATGCTTTCTATATAAAGATTATGCGTTTCGCGGGTTTTCTCCAGATCCATTCTTGGAATGCCAACGTTTCGTGAGCCTTGCAGTTCACTTCAGGACAAGGAGCAGTCTGATGCAATATCAGACCCTGATAAAGTGGACTGCAACGTACACGAAACCCGCGGAACGCATAATCTTTATTATATATCATTATTGAAAGATATGTAATCGGTGTATATATATTCGCACACGCACGCACGCACGCACTCAAATATCGTATCTGTGTGCATGAACATTACTCCGCATTGAAATAGTTAAAATGTGGCAACAGCATGTCCCTGTCTCGCCGCTCGATGTGCGAGAGAGAGGGGGGAAAGGGGGTGGGAGGAAGGAGAGAAATGGAAGGGGAGGGGGAGGTGGAGGAAAGAAGAGAGGGAGAGGGAGGGGGGAGAGAGAAGAAAAATTTCATCAAATTACAAATTTAAACTACTCTAATTCAGAAACGACATCGCTAGATCTCCCTACCTTTTTTATAAGGTATTATATGTATAATATTTCTACATTACATATTTATTTGTTTAAAAAATCTGTAAAACATTATCACCACAAAGTATTAAAACATTACTTTGGCAAAGTTTGGTATAGGAGTTTACGTACTAAAAGCTGAAAGATGAATATCTTCATTTTGGCATTGTTAAGATCTTTGAAATTTTAATCATATATAGATAAAATTATTTTAAACATAATATCTAAATTTCAAAAAAATCTGAAGAAACTCAATTTCTCGGAGAAATACCTTAATTAAATAGTATTTTATAAACACTTTCTTAATGTTTTAAATAATTTTCAGATTTTAAACGGTTTTTAAACTTTTAAAACAAATTGACGTATTTTATATACCTATGACTATTTATTTAAATTAAATACAAAAGCAGAGAAATAAAAAACACGCTTTGACATAATGCAAGTCCCCCATAGCAAAAACGTCATAGTAATTACTAATCACAACCATGGTGAATATCCGCGACGTGCGAATATCCGCTTTATTACAAATGTAATATCACAGCCATGTCATGGTGATGTGCGAATGTCTTTATAACATGTATTATTTTGTTATGATAATTTCACAGTGACCTATCTTTTTCTTGACTATTGTGACTATTGTGACGTGAATTTGACCTTTTGCTGGTAATTTAAAGTGCCAGTCTCGGTCATGCCAACTGCGTGAATTCCACGCGCGCTCATTCATCTACTTCAGTAGTTCACCATTCGAATTCTACTTATCGAATTGCTTTTTGATAGAATTTTCGTCTTAGAATCTTACAGAGAATATGTTGGCGGTACATCAGTTCTCTGTATATTTTTTCTGTAATCTATATGTATTGTTTATACGAGTATTTTATATATATATATATATATATATATATATA